CTACAACTCTGTTCTCTGGTAGTGAGATCAGAGAAATAAGCTTGGAACAAATTACGCCACATCTGTTCAAATAACTGGGTTTTAGTCCAATGCAATTCCTATCAGATGCCTGGTCAATTGGGGTTCCTAAGGCTTCATCAATACTGCTTTTAAGAATCATGTTCATTTTCCTGGGCTCTCCTCCAATTCGGTGTGGTTGCTGTGCCCAGCATTTCAGTGGTAACTGAACTTTGAAGTTTTGGAAGGATGTTTTAGCTTCACAGGAGATTAGGTTTTGTTAATGCTTTTTTTTCTGATTGCTTACTTGTGGGTAAGATCAGATTTTTAACTCTAAAGCAAACGCTTATTTGCATTGCAGTTTTGATACACATGGTTTTAAGAAGAGAACAAGGCTGTGTGAAGGAGTGCCTCAGTTTGACAAAATTTGGCCCAAATGACTTTACAGTATTTCACTTTGTCTGGCACAAGCAATTTTGGCTGGTGAACACAGTTGCAAACATCATACAGAGATGTTTTATTGCTTGATTTTGATCATTGACTAGCCTTGAAAGTTTCAACAGAATTATTTAGCTAAAACAGTTTTCAAACCAAAGCAGGGATCTCTTTCAAAGCGACAGATTGAAGCAGATGGCTGCAAAGTGTTTTGTGGCATTTCAAAGAGGGTTATTGATTGAATGGCTTTTTCTCTGCTTCTGGGGTTGTTAACAAAACCGTTGCCATTTTATTTCTATATATGGAGAAAGAGGAGGGAAGGCTGAGTGGGTATAAGGAGTTTGCTGAGTGATGGGTAGTACATTTTGTCACTATATTAGACTCTTTGTCTTCCCAGAGCTCCTTTTAAATAATAGGTTAATACAAGGGCTGCCACAGGCAGAGGGGGCCAGGTTGTTCACCAGAGCACCAGAAGGTAGGATGAGAAACAATGCTTGGAAACTGATCGAAGAGAGAAGCAACTTGGAATTAAGGAGAAACTTCCTGATAGTGAGGACAATTAACCAGTGAAACAGCTTTCCTCCAGAAATCGTGGGTGCTCCATCACTGGAAATTTTCAAGAAGAGACTAGACATTCACCTGTCTGAATAGGTTTTCTTTCTTGAGCAGAGGGCTGGACTAGAAGACCTCCAAGGTTCTGTTCTAGTCTAGTCTAGTCTAGTCTAGTCTAGTCTAGTCTATTCTCTGTGAGTCTACTTTGTAATCTCTTTACTTCCTCAATGTCATCAGCTTTAAGCCTGGTTAGGGGAAATGTAGTAAGAGAGAGTTTCGTGTGTGTATTTACTTACTTCTGCACTAGTGTTGCCAGTGCACTGGGAATTCATCTTAACTTTCTGCACATTGAATAAAGCTGATTAGTTCAGGATGTACTCTTGGATTAACTGTGATTCAAATGTGCACAAATGGCTAGCTTTAAAAGTCTCAGAAATGAAAAATGGCTGCTAGGCCAACACTTAAAAGTGCTAGGACAAACTTTTATAAAGAATAGTGAATATAAGACTTATACACTGTCTTTTTTCTATGCCAGCCTCTTTCTTCATGACTAGGCACTCAGTGTCATTGTCTTTATACCAGGCTGTGACTGCCACCTCTGCTAGAATATCTGTCAGAGAATATTATCAGCAAATATACTCCTGAAACAGTCGGGTCTTGCTAGTGTGCCAAGGGTAGGGTTATCAGACCTCTGGCAAAAGGAGGACATACCTTCTTTGTCTTCATGTCCTCCTTTCAGAAAGCATAATCTTAAAATCAAATGTTGTCGGTCTGTGTGTGTTTCAGTATCTAACAAACTTTATCTTCCTGAGGAATTTTTCTCTGTGTGGGGCAGCCCTTCCTTAAGCACTAACCATAAGTTAACAAGTTCTGCTCTCTGTCTTTAATTAGTTGATTAGTAGCCTCCGGCCAGCTTGTCCTGCTGCATGAAAGGACAAGTCTTTAATCAGTTACAGACTGAAAGCTTTTGCCTCCTAACTGGCTCTAACACATTCTAGCTCTTCAATTTTAAAAAACACACAGTCTTTCTAATGCTGGTAAAAGGAATCTCATATGTATGTAGGACTAAGTACATTTTGTTTGCAGCTTTCTATTGTAATTTTTGTTATGGATGCTAAGAAACGTAAACAGTTTGTGTATCTCTCCCACTTCCCCCATTTATCCTCCTTTCTAATTTTCTTTGCCTGTTCAAATATCTGATAACCCGAACCAGGGGGTACTTTCCAAGACTGCCAGTCAGATGTGCCAATTCATTTTGATCAGAGGCAGCAAGAATTACACAATCTCAGGAGGATATTGGTCACTCTCCTGCATCATGCTAAGTGTGGCTTGGTGGTGGAGTCTTGCCCACCAGTAGAGGGCAGCAAATATAGTTTTAAAGTGCAAACCCATCTGGCTTTCTAATTGTACAACTATGGTTAGTGGAAGAAAAGCCAGTAAATAAGCAAATGAGGGAATGCCAGCTGTTGGAGGTGGGTTGGAGTGAGCAGACTAAGTATAGCTGGAACCCTGTCAAGCAACACTCCTGTTTACTTGAACAAGTCCATGGGAATATGTTCCAGTGGCAACACTATTTGGAATGTATGAACTTGAAAAAAAGTTTGGGAACTTTTGCTCTATAGCAGTAGTTCTCAACCTTTTTGTTATCACGGACCCCCTTTAAATACCTTTTGCGGCCACAAACCATGGCCACGAACCTCCAAGACTTAACTCAAGATTTAAATCACAACATTTCTTCAAGCCTTCACGGTCCCCCTGTGATGATGTCTGCAGACCATAGGTTCAGAACCACTGTAGGATTACAAACTAACTTATTTCTGATATTTATACCTGATCCTGTAAAAAAAAGAAAAGATGCTTCCCATTTTAGTTAATGAACAAATATTCAAATCAAATCTTGAAGTAACTCAAATGAAACTGTTTTGCCCATTTTCAGTTTTGAAGCTATGTATCTAATCAGGGTTGATTTACAGAGACCTAATATATTATCAAATGATGTTGTTTATATCCTAAAAGCATATTTCAAATAACTGCTGTTATAATATTCCATCTTCAGAACAAATTAAAGTTATGTCCATAATTATTGTACCAGATATAATTGTGTATAAGCCCATCTGAGGATAAGATGATCCTTGAGTTTTCAACCAAAATTGTAAAAAATATTGTATCACCTGTGAATAAGTTGACCCTTAAAATATTTGTATGTTTTAATTTGCATAATAAGATTACCCATGTATAATCCACACATTATCTTCTTCATAATATTTTGAGGGTCACCTTATTTGTAGATGAGCCTATACATGAATATGTACAGGATATACCATATATTCCGACGTATAAGGCTGCCTGGCGTATAAGACGACCCCCGTCTTTGGCGCCGAGTCGCATGCCTAGAAAGTCATCTTATACGCTGGAAACTACTGTTATTTCCGGCGTATAAGACGACTCGGCGTATAAGATGACCCCCAACTTTGGCGCTGATTTCAACACTTTCAAAAGTCATTTTATACGCCGGAAAGTACGGTACAGGTACTTAAAAAAAGATTGCCCTATAAACTCTCGGATAAGGCTATCTGCAGGTAAGATTAATCCAATTTTGGGGATAGGTTTTGGTACATCAAGTTCTCAGGTTTTTTTAGAGCATATGTAGTAGTGATATTTTTAACAAATCACTGCAATTTGGGTTTAAATAATTCACAACAATATGTGGGAAATCTTTTATGTTTATGACAAAAAAGTCTTCCTGTCCTTAGATGTTGTGGGTTTTGTTTTTAAAAATTAATATTGTAAGATCATGAATAAAATCAATTGAAATGTATCAATTGCATGTACAATTCAGATCAAGTTTAATAAGAGATACCAGGAAATGAAAGAAAACAGAAGTATTATAAATATGTCAATGTGCAGATTTTGCTATGAGATTACCGTCATATAATCTTCATATGATTTTCAGACAAGGACAGTGGTTGATATTGGTATAGCTGTGCTTCCCAACTTAATACTTTCTAAATTGATTTAGTTTATGACTCCCAAATTCAACCATCCTGGGTTTTTAGACCAATTAATGCTATCTAGACTTGGTGTCCAATTACCTGTGAATGATCAGTGAATGGATTTTTTTCCTTTTGATGTCAAATGTCCAATACATTTCTTTTGTATCGGCTTTATGTCAATTTTGTTTTAACATATTGGTTTGGAAGGGGCTTAAACCACTATGCATTATCAGTACCTTAATTTAAAAAAGTGGGGTGCATAAAGATTTTGCCATCAATGTCTGAATTGTATTATCAGTTTTATTTTCAATTCAGAATTTAATTTTTGTTTTTGTAATGCCATATGAGGTACACATCTAATAAGAAAAAACAGAAATCTTTAAAGCAAACTAAAGGTTGTTTGCTGGTATGTAGGGGTTTGTGTGTGCATTTGAAGCTAGATGAATATTTTTATGTGGGTGTCCAATGTTTGAGAAGTGAAAGTTAAAAAAGATTGTTGCAAAGAACTTTAAATAGTAAGTTTATGTTTTATGAATGATAAAGGAAAGAAGTTTGAACAAAACCACAGCTAATATGCAGTGGGATCAATCTTTGCTATAGTGATGTCCAGAACTGTGCAGGTCAGGAGTTTCATTTTCAACAGGTAGACAGAAATAATTTGTTTTCCTGACTCTACCTGACATTTTGACCTCCTATTGAAATGTGTTGTTGTATGGTCATTTACTTTACTCTTCAAGTACCATAGGAAATAATAAAAAATGTTCCTAGTAAGAACATAACAGTACACAGATCTTTATAAAAATAGTGATATTCCACTTGACCTACAAAATTGAGAAAGGACTCAAAGAAACGTTTTGTGTTCAACACTAAAGACAAATGATTTGTTAGACCAAACAGAGGAACTTTTGGCTGCTCTGTACTCCCAATAATACTTTAGTGAAAAGACTCATGTTAGGTGCAATAAAATCGGTTATCATGGGAAAATAAATTTCCTGATTCTCAATATTCCTACTTTCTTTGCAGGTCTTTCTTATGGTTCCTGGTGACTACACATCCTCCCACGCTTGCTCATTACAGCAGTTAGTGCTTCACAGAGGTCCTGCAATGGACATTTACTGCAAGTAAGTTAAATTGGAGGTGAGAAAAAATATTTTGGTGACATACAACTTTTCATGTTAAATTCAGACTCTCTTGGGCCCAAATTCAAAACTAATTCTAATTAATATTTTGATCCTCTCTTGCCATTCATACCTCCATCAGAAAACAGAATGAGATATAGTACTAAAATACGTTCAGACTATATCTATGTGAGAAATACTGGTCTTTTTTTGTCAAGAGTTATTTCAAAAGCTGGAACTAAAAAAAAGATGCCCAAGAATATTAAATCTGTAAAAAGAAGTACCACAATAAAAACTTTTATTTTACTTGGTGTTTATTTTATAAACAGATAAAAAGGCATTTGTAAAATCCTTTTCTTTTTTTTAAAAAAAAGTAAGCAAGAGTAAAAAATTTAAGAAAGTAAGAAAAGAAAATTTAAAAATGTAATCCGAAGTTTGGTGTCTCCATTACTTGGATGAGGTTATGATTAATTTTATGTTGGTCTCCAGATGTTGGAGCTTTATCCATTTTTAAAAATATCTCTAACGTTTACCAGGATATATGTGAAGTAAAGTCTTTAACAAAGTTCTCTTTCATAAACCTAGGCTCTAGTTCCAAAACAGAATCCAGGAAATATTTCTGACCAAGAGCTGGATGAACAAGAAGTTCAAGGGGGGGTACTAAAGAGAGGAAAAGAAGCCCATAAAAGATGAGAAAAGCTGAATGCTTGCCAAACATATTTAGGAAAATTATGGATAGGCACCAAATGTCCCATTTACATTGTATGAACACTCTCCTTTTGGTGCTTATTTGGACTGGCATTGCAACGGCACAGAAGGACTGCACAGGTGTGGAGTGTAAGCAGCCAGAAAATTGCATTGAAGAAGTTCTAGAACCTGGAGAATGCTGTGCCTCTTGTCTGCAGCATGGCTGCACTTGCGAAGGATACCAGTACTATGACTGTGTGAATGTGGGCTTTATCAATGGAAAAGTGCCTGAAGGACAGTCCTACTTGGTCGACTTTGGAAGCACTGAATGTTCTTGTCCCAAAGGTGGGGGTAAAATCAGCTGCCAGTTTATGTTATGCCCAGACCTTCCACAAAACTGCATTGATGCTGTTCTACCAGCAGATGGATGTCCCCAATGTGGAAGAATAGGCTGTGTCCACGAAGACCAGAAATATGCTGCAGGACATACATTCCACATGCCTACGTGCAAAGTGTGTCATTGCCCTAATTCTGGCGGTGACCTCATGTGCTATCAACTCCCAGATTGCAATGAATCCATGTTAACCTCCCCTAATCCATCTGATACCGTGGAACTAGAACAGCACTACGATGATCCCTACAGTTACGACCAAGGGGCACCAGAAGGAGATGCCACTCAGGTGGAGCCACCCAAAAAGAAAAAGTTCTACAGTTATTCAGCACATATGGAGCAAGAGAGCACAGGCCAAGAACAAAGTGAGGATTATGACTACCTTGCAAGCAGTGTTACTCCCCCTTCACTGACTCAGTCTATTTCAGACCCAGCAAGGCAGCAACAAACAAGCACAGATATTCCTCTCCTAAACCATCCAGAAAAAAGGAGCAACAATGCAAATAGCAAGGTCAGGATGAATACAAGCACACTATCAACAACCAAAGTACCACAAAGATATAAGATGACCACCACAAATAGTATTTTAAAGGAAGAAGTCGTGGCAACCACTGAGACGGCCTGGAATGCGGCAGAAGTCGAGAGACAAAACGCGATCAGCCATGAGAGAATTGAGCAAGGAGAAACTTCCCATTTTAGGATCAAACTGAACGTGAAGAAAGACCAGATATCAAAAGTACCCAAATTATTGGATTTCAAGGAATCCAAAGGAGATAACTTCCCTGAAGTCAAATTTAACCCAACGCCTTCATCGCTGATTGCCCTGAAAGAAGATCACAATTGGATAGCCCCCAAACAATCTCAAACACTTTATCATTACCAGCCTGATGAAGATGTGGATCCCAACTCTGTTCACACAACCTCCAAATTGTCAGCAGGTAAGATTTTTGTTTCAGTGCCTTAATGTTAAATCAGTAAACAGTAAAGCAGGACTGCTGCCTGTTTGCTACAATAATGAAAGGTACAGGTTGTCTTCAACTTACAACAGTTCGTTTGGCAACAGTTCCAAAGTTACAATGGCACTGAAAAAAAGTGACTTATGACCATTTTTCACACTCATGACCATTGTAGCATCCCTGTGGTCATGTGATCAAAATTCAGATGCTTAGCAGATGGTTTATATGTATTTTGGCTGCATAGATACAAACGATGTGATCAGCTTTTGTGACCTTCAGAATGGGGAAACCAGATTCACTTAATAACTTAGTAACATTAGTAACAGTGTTACTAATTTAACAGCTGAAATGATTCATTTAACAACTGGGGCAAAACTCACTTAACAAATGTCTCACTTAGCAACATAAAATTTAGGGCCAATTGTGGTCATAAGTTGAGGACTACCTGTAGTCTAATACTTGCAGACTCGGAGGACACACACACAAAAAAACACCTTAGCTCTTTGAAGAATAGTGATGCATAGTTTTAGTGAAAGTCAGTGGATAACTGGTCAGCTGCAATGTGATTTTTCATTTTTCTCTTTCTTTGAGAGGTTATCTAACATTTAGACTTTTTAACCAGTTGATTTGATGGAAAAGAAACAACTTTTGGATTTTTTTTTCTCCTAAAGGAAAGGAAAATTTGGATGAAATTTTCAGGGCTGGGTTCTGACTAAGAAGGGAGTGCGAGTATTTTGCTGTCTTTTATTGTATAATAATTATTAAAGTTTTTCACCTTTCTAGCTTTGCAGACTCCCAAAACAAGATATCATAAGAACGTTTCCTCCTATGGAGAAGTAGAGACAGCCAGTAAGTAGCAAGTAGCATCTTCTACCAGTTACAAAGAGTTCATAGCCAGCCCCAAATCTGAGGCATTCCCCCCCCCCCGTTTTTAATCAAAGCATACTGTGGATACAACAAGCAGGGTGGGCCTTTTCACAGATGAAGATACTTTTATAGAAATGTTAACATATCATAACAATGTTATTGCTATCTCTTTTCCTTTAATTCATGTATCTTCATTAAACATATTTGATTTGATTTAAGTAGACACTTGCCATTGAAAAGGAAAAATTAAAGTTTGAGTTTAAGTGGCTTTAAAGATTTGATGAAAATATGAAATTATTACCTTTATTGAAAAAATTAATAAAGGGCAATGTTAAGTAAATTTCTAATCCATATTTGTTACTGACAAAATTTAACAATGTCTTAATTAAATTTTGATCCAACTAACCTCAATAACTGCTGCATATATTATATAACATTAGCTCAAATAGCAATGTAAACTGGTTTATGACCTGTACTGAAAAGGAAGCTGCTTGCTGCTTTGAAAAAGAAATTCTTCTTTAGTAATGGCTTTGCTAAATGAGCAGTGTTTATGTTAAATCCTTCCATGTATTAATAAAAATATTAGAACACCTCTTAGGACAATCTTTGTAGATTTGCTTGCTGCAGATAGCTTTGTCACGTGTTGAAAAGAACCAATGAGGTTAGCAATCTGAAACTGAAACAGAGAAATGATCAATGTTTCCAGCCAATCACCCATTGCCATAGGGACACTGAGGTTATGCTGTCGTGGTAAAATTGGCCAGATGCAACCACCCTATATACATGAATGGAGTTAATACAATGTTATGTCAGTCTATGTTATGGAAATTCTAGAAGTGACATGTCTATGGAGATTCTCAGTCATCCAGGTCACACTTTGTTTTTCCTTGAAGACATTTTGCTTCTCATCCAAGAAGCTTCTTCAGTTCTGATTGAATGGTGGAGGATGGAAGGATTTATATTTCTTGCAGTCATCTGGTTGTTAGCACTCTTTCTGAGAGTCATTAAGGCCACTTGGAGGTTTATCTGTGCCCTCAGGGTCACCTGAATAATGCAAATGGGTATGGAACCTTCTTGGAACTGCTGAAAGGACTTTGTTGTAAACAGAAAATAGGTGGTGTCTTAACAAGCTGGAAACAATGATTGCATTTGCACTATTCAGGTGACCCTGAGGGCCATCTGAAAGAAAGAGTGCTAATGACCAGATGACTGCAAGGAATATAAATCCTTCCATCCTCCACAATTCAGTCACAACTATAGAAGCTTCTTGGAGGAGAAGCAAAAACAGTCTTCAAAGAAAAAAAACAAAAACAAATTCCGGTCGCCTTTTGAAAAAAGAACCTTTGGGTCTAGAAGTGACAAGAATGAGATTGCAGTTAGAGTAATTAAAAGAAAGACCACTACAGTAGTATGGAGTTCCCTCTAAAGCTGGCTGAGGAATTCTGGGAGTTGAAGTCCACAAGTCTTAAAGTTGCCAAGGTTGAGAACCCCTGCTCTAAAGTTACACTATTTATTATTTTAAGACAAATTGATATCACTTTTCTGGCATGAAAATATTTTAATATGCTGACCATCATATTCAATTATGCCCGTGCCACATATCTGAAAAAACTTACAGGAAACCCCAATTGTTAAGCAGCTTGACTTTTGTTACATTTCTTCTCTGTAACAAAGAGCCATGAAATGATCCTTTCCTGTTCCCATTGTGATAAGATGAGAAGTGAGATCAGATCATAATGGATGTTGCCCAAAATAAACCATGCTTGTGATCTGAAGATTGCTGGGCTTGCCTCTCCCTTTCCTGTCACTCAGAGAGCCTCCATGCTTGCATTTCTCATGTGCTTCATTGCCAGGTCTAACTTAATTGGTCACGCTTGCCATCCTAATCAGAAGGAGACCTGACGGGTTTGGATTTCATTACAATAATATCCTGACTCAAGTTTAAAAAAGCTCAGTGCCAAAAGATAAAATCCATTTATTTGTACAGTAAATAGGCTAAATTCCTGGCTGCTGAGTGTTTTAAGTTGGGAAGCAGCCATCTCATGACCTAAAGCACACATGCAGAAGAAGATATCTATGGAGAAAGAGAAAGAAAAAGATTCTTCTGCATATTGACATCATTAAACTCTCAGTAGAGTGAGTAACCAGTTATTCCATTATACAATGGAAGGCATGTGGAAATAATTTCACAAGAGAGCAACCCTTGGTTTTGAGAAACAAGACTCTTGAGCAAGATATCATCAGTGATTCTCCCATCCCTTGACAAATCCACTCCCTGACAAAGTTCTTACTAGTCGTTCAGTCACTCTTCTATTCAGATCAAGCATGAGTGTCAAGCACCAGGCCAGCCAGTTCAAATGTGTATAAAGATTTATTGTAAGCTTAAGCTGTCTACAAGAATCTGAACTAATAATAGTGAAGAGAAATTAATGGAGTTAAGAATAGAAAGGAATTCAAGGTGGGCCTGATTTAGATCTCTTACAGGCATACAGGGACTCATGACTGATAATGTGTTTGACCCATCCCTTGGGCTTAACTTGGTCATCTCCTACAATGGGGAAACCATGGATTTCCAGAACTACTTCTTTAAGCAAGCTTGGCTGGCAAGGCCTACAATGAGTACTGCTGGAAGTTGTAACTCAGCAACAATTTCTTTGTGTAAACCATACCTGCATTGATATAAGAAGTGGATGTTGATTTTTTTTATTTATCTATTCTGCCTTAATAATAAGAAGAATATCTGGAGCAAGGAATGTTAGAACTGGGGCATTCTGTCCTGGGATACAAGCCTAAATTCTTTCAAGAAAACACTGTTTAATACATGTTCTGTATCCTAGGATAGATTGGTGCTTTACCATGTATTGGTGCTTCCAGTCAGACTTGTTGAAACATTCTCTGTGACAAAGCTGGAACAAAATGTAATAAAATATAAGTTGGCTGCTAGTAAAGCAACTTTACATATCCTTCTGCTTCTCTTCATAATGATAGTATGAAACCTGTGATGTTCCTATACTGCGTCCACTGATTATGATGGCATTATATCAGGTATTACTAGATGTTTATGTGTAGAGATGTTGAAAAGAGATGACTGTGGTTTTCATAGGCAGTTTGGCATGTTTTATCCTGCCTAAGAGATCCACTGGAAATTCCTAGGCCTAAGCCACAGAGACCAGCACCAAAACTCCAATCAAAGATCAGAGCTCAAATCAAAGTTAGAGAACAAGCTAAAAGAAGTTAAAAAGGTAAAAATTTGTGAGGAATTGCTTTTACAATTTGAACTAAGAATCCTTTAATTTTGGGGGGGAAATTATGTACATCTCCAGCAAGAAAGTTTCTCATATTTGTTGTTTTGGGGGAAAAGGAGGAAGGAATATTGGGCAATGTTTGCTGTTTTGTGTTATTTATAAAAATAATAAATGGATATAAATAAATAAATTTTGCAAAAAAACAACATTCAGAAATGTGAAATATAAATAAATATAAAAATAAATAAGATGTTAGAAACATGTCACAATGGAAGCTTCTCCCTTTTTGTATTGCACACATGTATAAAAGGGATGATGGTTCTTTTTCATTATCTCTGCACTTATCTTGCATTTTTTTGGGGAGATCCCATACAGGTGACCCTGCCTAATGTAGATTGTTACCCCTCTGCACCTTTATTAAACTATAATTGATCATAGAGTTTTGTAGTAAGTGGTGGCATTTAGCTAGCTTTGGACTTGCAAACAAAGCAGGTGAAGGTGGCTTCTGAGACAGGAAAACATCAGGAAGTAGACTAAATTAGGAAGTAAGCAGATATCTGCAGTGTTTTCAAAAAACCTTCATGGATGTTTTCACAAAGTCATCAAGAACTTGGCTCAGACTGAAGGAAGGTTTACTTTTAGTGTATTTCATTTGTGACATATCATATAGTTTAAGTCTGAAATATTCTGAGATGTGTAAATGTGTTTGTAATAAATAAATGATTATAGTTCTTGCAACCATAAACCTCACTTGCATCTTCACGTTTGGAGGTTGCTGAAATAGTTCTCAGTACTGTTTTAGGTGCCACTCAATTTCTTTAGTCTTCCTACCAACAATCCCAGTGTAGGCACTATGAGTACATTTGACATAATTTAAAAGGTTGGCAAACGTCTATTAGACTGAATAAAGTTTTGCAGCTGTAGTAGTGAATTTAGGCTCCAATGAGAAAGAAAAAAAAAAAACAGAAATAGCTAGTGCCTCCAGAAATAATCATACAAATTTTTAGACCATGATTATACTTCCCCCAATTCTGTCTTCTAATGTTTAACTTCATTGCATCCTGAGCAATGATCCCAATTCCACAATAAAATTTTAATTATAAACTCAGAGCAACGGAAATGAGATCCAGATTGGTGATTTAGAAATTAAGAAGAAAACTTTCTATACATTTTAAAGCTTTTTTTTTTTAAAAAAATCCACCCTTCTTTAATCTCAAATTGGCTTATATTGATTAAAACAATTACATAATTTCTGCAGTGTACCTACATTTAAGAGACTAAATAACATATGAGAATGTTTTGTTTTTTTTTTAAAAAAAAGGCCAAAATTTAAAATACATAGAAAGGCTGGAAAGTGACCTTAGCATCTGGCTAGATGAGGTGGAAGAAAGTATTTAGTTAGGTTCTGGGCTCCAGGGAAGCAATTTTGAAAGACCATCTCTCTTAACATTTCAACAATTGCCCTCTGGAACAGCTGCAATTTTCAGGCCAACTTCAAAGGCAGTCCAGGTAGATAAATGCTAGCAGTTATCTGAATGGAGTTTTTTGAGCAAGGATAAGCTTGATTAGACTTGTTCTTGTTTGTATATCAGTAGAAATGTTGCAACAACACAACGGTGTACATATCAGGACTGCACAAGTTTCAGGAATCAAAGCATTTGTGTTATATTTTCTTACAAAAACAGGTGGTTTGAACACTTTATTTTTCAAAACAGGAATGTTATAAAGAATGTCATA